CCTCGCTTCGCCCTGCTACTGCTCCCCTTCAGACCCTGCACCTGGACGTTTGGGGCCCAGCCCCCGTCCTCGGACCGCGTGGCGAGTACTACTTTCTTGTGCTCGTCGACGACTACATGCGCTACACCACGGTGTTTCCCATGGAGCGGAAGGCCGACGTGCCCGACGTTCTTCTTCCGTGGGTTGTGGCTGCGCATCTTCACCGCGGTCTCCCCGTGTTGTGTCTCCACTCGGACCATGGCGGCGAGTTCGCTTCTGGTCGGCTTGGACAGTTCTGTCGTGCGAAGGGCATCACCCAGTAGTACACCTTGCCGGACTCACCACAACAGAATGAGGTTGCTGAGCGCCGCATCGGCTTGGTCATGGAGGTGGCTCATACCTCCATGATCCATGCCGGTGCACCCCATTTTCGATGGCCGTTTGTCGTTCGTTACGCCGCTCACTAGCTTAAACTGTGGCCACGCTCCCAGCAGCCGCAGGTTTCGCCGACCCTCCTTTGGACCACGTCCCCCGGTGTTGCGTCTGCGTTCCACGTCTAGGGCTGCCTTGCTCACGTTCGTGCCTCTGGCATGGACAAGCTCATTGCCCGCACTGTCCCCTATGTCTTCCTTGGCTTCCCCCTAGGCTCGTCTGACTGGCTTTTCTACCACCCGCAGTCTCACCGCTTCCTCCACTCTCGTGACGTCACCTTTAACGAGTCCGTCTCCTTCTACCGTCGCTTCCCCCACCGAAGTCTCCCGGTTTTACCCCCCCTGTTCCTTGCCCCCTCTCCCCTGGTAGCCCCTCCTCCCCTCCCGTCGCGTCCTGCCCCGTCTGGTGTCTCCCATGTCACTCCCCTCCCCTCACTTGTCCCTGTTGAGGAGTCCCCTGACTCAAGTGGTCCCCCCGCCCCGCCCTTGCCGCGTCCCCCTTCCCTGGTGTCTCCGCCCCCGTTGTTGCAGTCGCCGCGGTCGTCGCCGCCGCCGCCGCTGCCGCAGCCGCCGCCCCCGCCGCCGCCACTGCCGCCGCTGCCGCTCTTGGCCTATGGGGGTGCTGGCGCTAAGGAGTGTGTTCGTCCTCCGGCTCCTAGCGTGGTCTGTCCCGGCGGGCCTGGGGGTGCCGCTGTGGCTGGAGAGGGTTCTCGCTCTGGGGGTGTTGGTTCTGGGGGTGCTGCTGTTGAGTGTTCTCCCGGAGGTCGTCGTTCCCCTGCCGGTTCGAGGGTCAAGCACCAGCCGCCGCAGCAGCCACCGCAGTCGTCGCCGCCGGTCTTCCCTCTTTGCCTGCTCGGCCTTCCCTCCCCTGACCGCTCGCCGGTGTCTCCCCCACCTGTTATAATCACAATAGGCTCAGATGTGCCTAAAATGAGAGAAATTGTGCACAGTCAGAATTCTGTCAGACAGCTTCAAATATTGATGCCGATCTGATCTCTGCCTCAAACGGTGATCTCTAAATTGGATATGGAGCGCCTTGCTGTCGCCTATCAGCAGCAAGTTGAATCATGAAATTCCATGAAGATTTGACGACGCTATGACGGTTTGACTGGGAGGAGGTATAGCAGCCACTATAGTCTTGGAAGTACAAACTTAGCAAGAAGAGTTCGAGATAGAGATGGTCCACAGCCTCTACATACCCCAAGAGCCGAGGTCCAGGTTGGTGGTACACCACCATAGAGTCCCCAACCATGAAGAGTCTCGAAACAAACCCTCCAAGGGGCTACACCAAATGAAATGTAACACTACACGAAGTAGCGTTACAATTTTCACTATTTAATATTTATCCGTGTCCCTTGGGCTTGAAATCTTGAGCTCTTGGTCTTGGTTCTGCAAGATAAATTCTTCTTGAGTTGATGGGGGCTTCCTGCACACACCTGCGACACGATGGACACTTCACACTCGACAAAATAGAAAAAACACATGCGACACACAAACGACGACTTGACATGCGAGTTGTAAAAACTCGCTAATGTCTTGACCGACACAAACCACATTGTGATACACCATTCAAACACACACACAAGTACTGGATAGCAATGACATCGACTCACAATTCATTCCATGCCATGCATGCACACACACAAACAAGGACAACAAGCCGAGTGCAAGCCATAGGGTTGCACCAACACCACCTCCTCCTCACCTTCCTGTCTACAGCCCTGTGTTCCTGCCCCCGGACTCTTCTCCGACCCGTCTTCCTCCTCGTTCCCACCTTGTGTCCCCTCCGCTGTCTCCTGACCCTACACCTCCGTCCCACATTTGGTCTCGCCGTCCCTCCCATGCTCGTCCCGTCTCCCCTGTCCCGCACTCCCATCCTATGTTACTCCGTTCTCACTCGTCTCGTCCTCCCCTCCTCCCCTCGCCTCCTCCCTCATCACTCATTGTTGCACCTCCCCCGCTGTCTGACTACCTCCGTGCCGCTAGTCCCCTTGTCCCTCGGGTCCTTGCCTCTCTTGTTACAGACCCGTTTGTTCCTGTCTCCTGCCTTGACGTCTTGTTGCTGCTGTCGCTGACTTCGCCTCTACCTGCCGCCTTGACTATGCTACCGCTCTGGTCTCTGACCCTGCCCGTCCTGCATCTGTCGGGGGTGCACCTGCCCTTGGCATAGAGGTACTAGAGGACAAGCAGTACGAGCTTGCTTTCCTTTCCGAGGCCGCTCCCCATCTCTACTCTATGCTCCTAGTCCCAGAGGGTGACCCAGACGCCTTCGACATCCCGACCCCTCGCACCTACGCTGAGGCCACCTCGGGACCCTGGGCCTCTGAGTGGATAGCTGCCATGGAGCAGGAGATGGCATCTTGGAGGTCCACCGGCACTTACGTCGACGCAATTACCCCGCCTGGGGTGAACGTAGTCGATGGTCGGTGGCTCTTCAAGGTGAAGCGCCCTCCAGGAGAGCCGCCTGTGTTCAAGGCGCGCTACGTGGCTAGAGGCTTCAGTCAGCGCGAAGGGGTTGATTCTTCCAGATTGTCACAGGATCGAATGACTCGAGGAAAGATTGCACTATCGATTGATACAAGGCGCTTTTATACTTCCAGAGTACATCAGGTAACCAGGTTTATCCTATCCAAAGGAATAGACCCTTCTAGAAAATAGAATCACCTTGCGTATAGCCACGTGAGGCTATTGGCTTTAAGGGATTACGGCAGGCTGACACTGGATAACGCGCCAGTACATCCCAAGCCTGGTCTGTGATATAATTATCATAAGAGGATAAACCAAAGGATAATGGAAAATGGAGAATAGGAAACCAAATGAGATGAGATAAAAAGAAGAATGAGATAGGAAGGAAATAAGGAAGAAGGCCAAGTGGTGTAACAGGATCGTACTCTCACACTTCCCCCCCTCAAAGCTGGGTGGTAGAAGTAACACCCTGCTTGACAAGGTAGTCATGCATAGGACGACGGGCGTTACCCATGTCGGTCTCAGGTACCCAGCTGTCCTCAGAAGGATCATAACCCTTCCAACGAATAAGAAGCTCCACGGTGCCATTCCGACGACGGCGGTGTGCAAGCACGGACTCGACCTCGTGCTCAGGTTCATTCTGGACGAGGACGGGCGGTGGCGGCGGCGGCGGCTGGCGTCCGACGAAGATCGTGTTTGGATCCCGATAGGGCTTCAACAGTTGGACATGGAAGGCATTGTGAATCTTCCTGGTAGCCAGCAGGCGTAAGCGGAAGGTAACAGGGGTGACCTGTGCTTCAACGAGGAAAGGCCCGCAGAAGCGAGGTCGAAGTTTAGATGGGAGATGACGTATGTCCAGGTTGCGGGTGTCGAGGAGCACCTGGTCTCCCACGGTGATGGTGTGGTCGTTGCGATGGCGATCGGCCTGGCGCTTCTAATGCTGCTGAATATCGAGGAGGTGCTTGTGGGTCCGATCCCAAAGCTGATGCATGGTTGTGATGAAGTCGTGTGCAGGTTGGACTGTTGCTGATGTGGTCAGTTTCTGTGGTGAGAGTGGGTGGCGTCCGTAGCAGAGGAAGAACGGCGTCTATCCAGTAGCGGCATGTGTAGCGTTGTTGTAAGCAAACTCTAGGACGGGGAGGTGCAAGTCCCATTAAGAGATCTCGTCCTTGCAGGCTGCTCGGAAGAGTTGCTCAACAATTTGGTTGAGGCGCTAGGTCTGTCCGTCTGTCTGCGGATGGTATGCGGATGACATGGCGAGTTTGGTGCCGAGCAGAGACCTCAGTTCCTTCCAGAACTTGCTCGTGAACTTGGGGTCTTGGTCGGAGATGAGTGTGGTTGGAATGCCATGCTGTGAGATGATGTAACGAACGAAGAGTTGTGCCGTCTCCTCGGTGCGTGCTGTCGTGTGTGTCGGAATGAAGTGTCCCATTTTGGAGAATTTGTCGATGACGACAAGGATTGCGTCATGACCCCCAGTGGTAGGTGGTAACCCGGTGATGAAATCCAGGCTAACCACTTGCCATGGTTGTTCTGGGACAGGAAGAGGCTGCAGTAGTCCCGCCTTTTTTTGCTTGCTGCTCTTCATCCGCTGACATGTATTACACGAGGTGACGAATTTCTGCCAAGTGGGGCCAGTAGTAGTGCTTCGCGATACCGGTCAGCGTCTTGTTGCTACCGAAGTGTCCCGCGTAGAGGACGTCGTGATATTCTTCGAGTAGTAACTGGCGCAAAGAAGGGTAATTGGGTACCCAAATTTTTGTTGATCCTTTCCGGTACGCAATGTCATTGTCCCACTGGAGCAGATGTCGCTTTTCTACCAAGGGAATTTCGGGGTCGATGGTGTACCCGTGTGTGAAGAGTCCCTTGAGTAGTGGATTCATCCCTTCGACTTGAATAGCGGCAACGTGTGCAAGTCGGCTGAGGGCGTCTGCTTTGTTTTTGTGGCCGGGCTTGTACACGATGTCGTAGTGGAAGTGTGTCTCGAGGAAGTCAATCCACCGGACCTGCCGCCTGGAAAGGTTGGGTTGTGTCTTCAAGTATATCAGACTGCAGTGGTCGGTGTGGACGGTTGTTTGCCGTCCTTCGAGATAACATCTCCACGCTTTGAAGGCGATGATAATGGCAAGGGCCTCCTTGTCGTGTATCAGTTACTTAAGTTCTACCCCGTGCAGTTTCTTGCTCAGGTAGGCGATTGGTGGCAGTCCGTTCCCTTGGTCTTGCATCAAGACTGCTCCCACTGCCTGGTCACTGGCGTCTGCTTCAATGACGTAGGCACGTTCGGGATATGGCAAGATGAGCACCGGTGGGGATGTCAGTGCTTGTTTCAGCTGCTCCACGGCTTCCTGGTGCTTCGTCTCCCATTTGTAGGGCGTGTTCTTCTTCAGCAGATTCGTGAGTGGTGCTGCGAGCTTCGCATACTGTGGCACAAACTTGTTGTAGTAATTAGCGAAGCCTAGGAACTGCTGCAACTCCTTCACGTTCTCGGGTGTCTTCCACGTGCGTACGGCTTCGATTTTCTTGGGGTCGACGTGAACTCCTTTAGCGCTCACCATGTGTCCTAGGAATTGGACCTTCTCTAGGGCGAATTCGCTCTTGGACAGTTTGACGTAGAATCGTTCGCGTCGAAGAATTTCGAAGACGCGTCGCAGGTGTTCGACGTGCCGCATCATGTCGCGCGAGTAGATGAGGATGTCGTCCAGGTATACCACCACGCATTCGTCCAAAAGTGGGCGTAGAATGTGGTTCATTTTGGCTTGGAACGTTGCCGGTGCGTTGGTGAGTCCGAACGGCATTACCAAATACTCGTACGATTCGTATCGAGTTCGGAAAGCAGTTTTGTGGATAGAGTTGTCCGCCATTCATATCTGCCAGTATCTGGACCGCAGATCTAGTTTGGAAAATACCGTAGCTCCCCGAAGCTGGTCAAGCAGGTCATCGATTTGTGGTATCGGATATTTATTTTTGATGGTCTGCTTGTTGAGAGCCCGGTAGTCGATGCACATGCGCAGGCTTCCGTCCGGTTTCGGTGTGAAGAGCACTCGGGCACCGTATGGCGAAGTAGATGGTCGGATGAGTCCTTTGGCTAGGAGATACTCGATCTATTTTTTCATGTCGGTCAGCTCCGTAGGACTGAGCCGATATGGTGCTCGGAAGGTCGGCTTCGAACCCGGTTCCTCCACGATCTCGTGTTGATGCGTTCGGTATGGCGGTAGCTCATTCGGAAGATCGTCAGGAAGAATGTCTTGGAACTCCTTCAATAATTCCTTGATCTTTCCTGGAGGTTCCGAGGTCTTCTCTCCGTCGGTTTCAACCTCTGTTGCTATCGCCAGGAACCCGGTGTCGGTTCGCTTCACGTCCTTCTCGAATCGTGCGAGTGTCTCCACTGGGATATCTCCTGTATTGTCCCAGTTGGGTAGCTGTACTCTCCGTCCATTGTTGTAGATGCTTGCAGTGCGGTTCACCCAGTTGATTTCGGGGTTGAATCTTTTTAGGAAGTCTCGCCCGAAGATCAAGTCAAGCCCTTTGATGTTGGTGATGGGGAGTGCAGGTCTCCAGCGCAGTGGTCAGATTTATAGGTGTAACACTGCTTCGCCGTGTACTGGTAACTTGCTGCCATCCACCATCGTTGCAGAGAATCCTGAAGGCTTGTACTCTTCCCGAAGTCGGTTGATTACTGCCTTGTCGCAGACGGTGTGCGATGCTCCGCTGTCCACGAGTGCTTGGAGGTGTCGTCCTTTGCAGATGACCTCGAGCACGAGAGGCGGGCGTTGCTCGGAGTACCCAAAGATAGTTTCATTAATGGGGTCATAGGGTACAGCCCAATAGTCCGTACACACCTTTTCGTTGCTATCTACTCCTGAGCTGGCAGCTGGCCGAGGCTGCTTGGAGAACGGCTCTTCTCGGGCCCGGAGTTTCCTTGACGACTGTACGCGTCATTGATGCCGGAGAACAGGATGCATCCGGAGGAGGATTTTGGGGTTTTTGCAGCTTCTTGTAGACCCCCAGCTTCCTCTTGAGCTGCTTCAGCTCCACCGACGTCTTCCCTGGGGAGCGGGTATTCGACGTGGGCTGGTGTCGGGAGAGGACGTTGACTCCGTGGAAAGGTCGGCTTCTTTCTGCTTCTTTTGGAGTCCCTCTCGAATTTTCTCCAAGGCTCTAGCCCCTCGAAAATCATAAAATTCATTAAAGCATCATTATATGATACCTTTAACGAATCCTTATAATTTCTTGGGTCTTCAAGGAGTTTCTTCGTCTCGGCAGAGTCTTTTTTCGCGGAGTCTGAGTTTTCCTCGGCGAATTTCCCTGGCGAAGACTGGTCGTGGGGTGGAGATTTTCCCCCATCATTTCCTCCTCCTCGCGTCGAAGCAGCTTCGTCGAAGTCGATTTTCCCGGAATCCCGCGGCCGCTTCCGGATCTTTTCATTTTCACCAACTAGATCCGCAATCACAGGCGACTCCCGTTTTTCGTCTTATGTTTGGCCGAAGGATTTCCGCCACTATTGCATGCCCGATACATTGCGCGTGCCACCTTCATTTTATTGCAGTCGAAGATTCGATGGCCCGGCACCCCGCAAAAATCACACGTGTAGTTGGTGTCTTTCGGATGTGGCCGCCTGTCGAACCTGTCGATTTCCACCGGGTCGGCGAACGTGGTGTGAGCCGAGCGGTCGCCTTGTCGCGTACTGCCGACGTGCGTCCGTCGTGTCCCGGCGTTGACCATGTCGAAGCGCTCCGCGGCCGAAACGACGTCACTGAAGCTCGCGTAGTTTGACGCTGCCACCTGTCGTTTGACTTCGGTCTTCAGCCCAGCGAGGTATGACCATGCTTTTTCCTCTTCGGTTAGGTCGGGAATTCGGTTATAAAATTCTTCCATCTGCTGCGTGTACTGTGCTACACTCCCGAACTGTCGATGGCGATGAATTTTTCGCAAGCAAGGAAACCTGAATTTATCGGCTCGAATCGATTCAGCGGGTCGGCGCGGAACTGCTGCCACATGGCTTCACCGTGGTTGAAAGAACTGTTGCCACCAATCCACTCGAGTGCCGGCCCTCGCATCAGTGTCGCCGCGAGTCGTACGCGTTGACCGTCCCAGACTGGCGAGCTCCATCCGACGGCTGCGAAATAGATCTCCATCCCGGCGATCCATCTGCGGGCGTCGGAATTTCGATCGCTCGGATCGAACGGCTCAGGTGGGCGCGGTTTCGGAGCCTCGAGAAACTGCTGCGACTGCTGCGTCGTCGCCGTTGTCGAGTCGTACTACGCTCCGGCGAGTCGGGTTACTTGTCGAACTCGTTTTGCCATGCTTCGCGATCCGCTCACAATTCCTCCTGAAGAGCAGCGATGCGCGCGAAGAGCTGCTGGGTAATCTTGGCGTTGTCAAAGGTTGCCATCCAGTTCAAAACACGCGCGGGGGGGGGGGGGGGGGTAATTCATAAAATGCGGAGCTGGCGCTTACTAGAATCGGCGTCGAATTTGTCGCCCCCGGCGGATTTCGAGGAAGGTTTTCCCGCTGCAGCTGCTTTGTTGAGTGCGGCCGAGTGAAAAAAGCTCTGATTACCAAGTGTAACAGGATCGAATGACTCGAGGAAAGATTGCACTATCGATTGATACAAGGCGCTTTTATACTGCCAGAGTACATCAGGTAACCAGGTTTATCCTATCCAAAGGAATAGACCCTTCTAGAAAATAGAATCACCTTGCGTATAGCCACGCGAGGCTATTGGCTTTAAGGGTTTACGGCAGGATTACGCTGGATAACGCGCCAATACATCCTAAGCCTGATCGGTGATATAATTATAGTAAGAGGATAAACCAAAGGATAATAGAAAATGGAGAATAGGAAACCAAATGAAATGAGATAAAAAGAAGAATGAGATAGGAAGGAAATAAGGTAAAAGGCCAAGTGGTGTAACGGGATCGTACTCTCACACAGAGACTCTCAGGTTGTCTCAGGGCTACTGTTTTAGCCTTGGTTCGGGTGGTATCTCTTGGAGGTCCACTCGCTCGTCGTCTGTTGCTCAGTTGTCACAGAATCGAATGAGTTTTGGCTCAATCTTCCAATATCCATGAGTACAAGGTGCTTTTATACTTCCAGAATACATTAGGTAACCAGGTTTATACTATCCAAAGGGAATAGACCCTTCTAGAAATAGAATCACCCTGCGTATAGCCACGCGAGGCTATTGGCTTTAAGGGATTACGGCAGTATTACGCTTCATATAGCGCGCTAGTACATCCCGAGCCTGATCGGTGATATAAGTATAATAACGGGATAAACCAAAGGATAATGGAAAAGGAGGAATAGGAAACCAAATGAGATGAGATAAAGACCAAATGAAACAGGATAAAAAGAGGGATGAAATAGAAAGGAAATATGAAAAGGGGAAAATGGTGTAACGGGGTCGTACTCTCACACTTCCCCCCCTCAAAGCTAGGTGGTAGAAGTAACACCCTGCTTGACAAGGTTGTCGCGAAGAGGACGACGGGTGTTACCCATGTCGAATTCAGAGACGTAGCCTCAGAAGGATCACAACCCTTCCAGCAAAGAAGAAGCTCCAGAGTGCCATTCTGACGATGACGGTGTTCGAGCACGTAGTTGTCCCATGTCGTGGATGAACACGGGCCGCGACGATGGTTGCCATTTAGTGTAGAGCATGTTTGGTCTCGATAGGGTTTAAGAAGCTGATATGGAAGGCGGTGTGGAACTTCCAAGTGGCTGGTTGGTGGAAGCGGAAGTTGACTAAAGTGACATTTGCTTCAACGAGGATATACCCGCAGAAGCAAGGTTGATGCTTGGATGGAGGATGGATGATGTCAAGATTACGGTCTGGATAACGGTAGCGATGAGTGACCAAGTGCTTGTGCTGTTGTTGGATGTCCAAGAGGCGTGTCCGGTGTTAGAGCTGACGGACAACGGTGATGAAATGGATTTATCGGTTGTTGTGGTGTGAGGGGGTTGCGTCTGTAGGTGGTACGTGGATGGCGTTGACCCTGATCGATATGTTTTAGTGGAAGAGTAGATGTACTGTCCTTTCGGTGGGTGCTCTAGCTGGCACACTGTAGCATGCGTTGAGTCTCGGGTAGCACATCCTGGTGTTACTCGCATCCCGTCCACGTATGAAGACGACTAAGTGTTGGTGGTGTTGCAGTCGTGTCATAGTCCTGCTTCTGTAGCAGCGTTGTATCAGATACATGCAGCTTCTGTCGAATGCTGGTCCATGACGTAGTGTTGTCGCGAGTCGTACCCTCTTGGCATCGTAGTGCTGCGGGATGGAGAGCAGAATCACTAGTAGTAACCCTGTCTACCACGCGGTCTGCTAGTCACACTGCCTTGAGTACAACAGCGCATGTGAAGTGCTGCTCGGCGTATCCCTTGTCTTCAAAACCATGCGAGGGGTTGGTACCACAACGCCGAGCTGGTAACTTCCAGAATCGGCGCCAAGGTAGTTTCCCTCGGTGGTTGCTCAAGCAAGGAATCTCTGCTGCGTAGATATCCCACGGTGATGGGTTAGGACATCTGGGAATGTTAGGGGTATTCCCAAGAAATCCTTTTCCACTTCAAAATGGGCATTGGTGACAGCCAATCCAGTATGACCTTCTGCACTTCCAGTTTAGCACGGAGGCCATCGGTAGGAATCGGTGTCTGGGTGCACATATTGGGATAGGTCTTCTGCTGCCATCATGTGTTGTCTCATTCTGTTACTGTCCTTGAAGTTGCGTTGATGTCAAAGACGTCTCAGCTACTCAGCATCAATGTTAAAGTCTGCTCCATTTCGGCAAATAGGGGTGTTGTTGGAGATACGCGGAGTCCACTATCCGGAGTGGCATCGGCGCTCCATTTCACGCCTATCTGCTTCGATGGAGTTGG